CCGCCAAGAAAATAACAAAATGCTTACAACACTAGATATTCCTAGGCGGTCCCCATCCAAGTACTAACCAAGCCCGACCCTGCTTGGCTTCCGAGATCAGACGAGATCAGGCAATTTCAGGGTGGTGTGGCCGTAAGCTGTTATAAAAGTTGAAAATACAGCTCTGATTGATTTCTTCACTGCATAATTAACTTTTTGATTGATTGTTTCTTCCCGCCAAGAAAATAACATAATGCTTACAACACTAGATATTCCTAGGCGGTCTCCCATCCAAGTACTAACCAAGCCCGACCCTGCTTGGCTTCCGAGATCAGGCGTTTTCAGGGCGGTGTGGCCTTGCTATTAGAGCAGTAAAAGAAAATACAGCTCTTATTGATTTCTTCACTGCATAATTAACTTTTTGATTGATTGTTTCTTCCCGCCAAGAAAATAACAAAATGCTTACAACACTAGATATTCCTAGGCGGTCTCCCATCCAAGTACTAACCAAGCCAGACCCTGCTTGGCTTACGAGATCAGACGAGATAGGGCGTTTTCAGGGTGGTGTGGCCGTAAGCTATTAGAAAAGTTGAAGTTACAGCTCTTATTGATTTCTTCACTGCATAATTAACTTTTTGATTGATTGTTTCTTCCCGCCAAGAAAATAACAAAATGCTTACAACACTAGATATTCCTAGGCGGTCTCCCATCCAAGTACTAACCACGCCTGACCCTGCTTGGCTTCCGAGATCAGACGAGATCGGGCGTTTTCAGGGTGGTGTGGCTGTAAGCTATTACAAAAGTTGAAATTACAGCTCTTATTGATTTCTTCACTGCATAATTAACTTTTTGATTGATTGTTTCTTCCCGCCAAGAAAATAACAAAATGCTTACAACACTAGATATTCCTAGGCGGTCTCCCATCCAAGTACTAACCACGCCTGACCCTGCTTGGCTTCCGAGATCAGACGAGATCGGGCGTTTTCAGGGTGGTGTGGCTGTAAGCTATTAGAAAAGTTGAAATTACAGCTCTTATTGATTTCTTCACTGCATAATTAACTTTTTGATTGATTGTTTCTTCCCGCCAAGAAAATAACAAAATGCTTACAACACTAGATATTCCTAGGCGGTCTCCCATCCAAGTACTAACCAAGCCTGACCCTGCTTGGCTTCCAAGATCAGACGAGATCGGGCTTTTTCAGGGTGGTGTGGCTGTAAGCTATTACAAAAGTTGAAATTACAGCTCTTATTGATTTCTTCACTGCATAATTAACTTTTTGATTGATTGTTTCTTCCCGCCAAGAAAATAACAAAATGCTTACAACACTAGATATTCCTAGGCGGTCTCCCATCCAAGTACTAACCAAGCCCGACCCTGCTTGGCTTCCGAGATCAGACAAGATCGGGCGTTTTCAGGGTGGTGTGGACGTAAGCTGCTATAAAAAGTTTAAAATACAGCTCTGATTGATTTCTTCACTGCATAACTAACTTTTTGATTGATTGTTTCTTCCTGCCAAGAAAATAACAAATTGCTTACAACACTAGATATTCCCAGGCGGTCTCCCATCCAAGTACTAACCAAGCCCGACCCTGCTTGGCTTCCGAGATCAGAAGAGATCGGGCGTTTTCAGGGTGGTGTGGCCGTAAGCTGTTATAAAAGTTGAAAATACAGCTCTGATTGATTTCTTCACTGCATAATTAACTTTTTGATTGATTGTTTCTTCCCACCAAGAAAATAACAGAATGCTTACAACACTAGATATTCCTAGGCGGTCTCCCATCCAAGTACTAACCAAGCCCGACCCTGCTTGGCTTCTGAGGTCAGATGAGATCGGGCGTTTTCAGGGTGGTGTGGCCGTAAGCTATTAGAACATTTGAAAATACAGCTCTTATTGATTTCTTCACTGCATAATTAACTTTTTGATTGATTGTTTCTTCCCGCCAAGAAAATAACTAATTGCTTACAACACTCGATATTCCTAGGCGGTCCCCCATCCAAGTACTAACCAAGCCCGACCCTGCTTGGCTTCCGAGATCAGACGAGATCAGGCAATTTCAGGGTGGTGTGGCTGTAAGCTGTTATAAAAGTTGAAAATACAGCTCTGATTGATTTCTTCACTGCATAATTAACTTTTTGATTGATTGTTTCTTCCCGCCAAGAAAATAACATAATGCTTACAACACTAGATATTCCTAGGCGGTCTCCCATCCAAGTACTAACCAAGCCCGACCCTGCTTGGCTTCCGAGATCAGGCGTTTTCAGGGCGGTGTGGCCTTAAGCTATTAGAGCAGTAGAAAATACAGCTCTTATTGATTTCTTCACTGCATAATTAACTTTTTGATTGATTGTTTCTTCCCGCCAAGAAAATAACAAAATGCTTACAACACTAGATATTCCTAGGCGGTCTCCCATCCAAGTACTAACCAAGCCAGACCCTGCTTGGCTTACGAGATCAGACGAGATAGGGCGTTTTCAGGGTGGTGTGGCCGTAAGCTATTAGAAAAGTTGAAGTTACAGCTCTTATTGATTTCTTCACTGCATAATTAACTTTTTGATTGATTGTTTCTTCCCGCCAAGAAAATAACAAAATGCTTACTACACTAGATATTCCTAGGCGGTCTCCCATCCAAGTACTAACCACGCCTGACCCTGCTTGGCTTCCGAGATCAGACGAGATCGGGCGTTTTCAGGGTGGTGTGGCTGTAAGCTATTACAAAAGTTGAAATTACAGCTCTTATTGATTTCTTCACTGCATAATTAACTTTTTGATTGATTGTTTCTTCCCGCCAAGAAAATAGCAAAATGCTTACAACACTAGATATTCCTAGGCGGTCTCCCATCCAAGTACTAACCACGCCTGACCCTGCTTGGCTTCCGAGATCAGACGAGATCGGGCGTTTTCAGGGTGGTGTGGCTGTAAGCTATTACAAAAGTTGAAATTACAGCTCTTATTGATTTCTTCACTGCATAATTAACTTTTTGATTGATTGTTTCTTCCCGCCAAGAAAATAACAAAATGCTTACAACACTAGATATTCCTAGGCGGTCTCCCATCCAAGTACTAACCAAGCCCGACCCTGCTTGGCTTCCGAGATCAGACAAGATCGGGCGTTTTCAGGGTGGTGTGGACGTAAGCTGCTATAAAAAGTTTAAAATACAGCTCTGATTGATTTCTTCACTGCATAATTAACTTTTTGATTGATTGTTTCTTCCCGCCAAGAAAATAACAAAATGCTTACAACACTAGATATTCCTAGGCGGTCTCCCATCCAAGTACTAACCAAGCCCGACCCTGCTTGGCTTCCGAGATCAGAAGAGATCGGGCGTTTTCAGGGTGGTGTGGCCGTAAGCTGTTATAAAAGTTGAAAATACAGCTCTTATTGATTTCTTCACTGCATAATTAACTTTTTGATTGATTGTTTCTTCCCGCCAAGAAAATAACAAAATGCTTACAACACTAGATATTCCTAGGCGGTCTCCCATCCAAGTACTAACCAAGCCCGACCCTGCTTGGCTTCGAGATCAGACGAGATCGGGCGTTTTCAGGGTGGTGTGGCCGTAAGCTATTAGAACATTTGAAAATACAGCTCTTATTGATTTCTTCACTGCATAATTAACTTTTTGATTGATTGTTTCTTCCCGCCAAGAAAATAACAAAATGCTTACAACACTAGATATTCCTAGGCGGTCTCCCATCCAAGTACTAACCAAGCCCGACCCTGCTTGGCTTCCGAGATCAGACGAGATCGGGCGTTTTCAGGGTGGTGTGGCTGTAAGCTGTTATAAAAGTTGAAAATACAGCTCTGATTGATTTCTTCACTGCATAATTAACTTTTTGATTGATTGTTTCTTCCCGCCAAGAAAATAACAAAATGCTTACAACACTAGATATTCCTAGGCGGTCTCCCATCCAAGTACTAACCAAGCCCGACCCTGCTTGGCTTCCGAGATCCGAGATCAGGCGTTTTCAGGGTGGTGTGGCTGTAAGCTATTAGAGCAGTTGAAAATACAGCTCTTATTGATTTCTTCACTGCATAATTAACTTTTTGATTGATTGTTTCTTCCCGCCAAGAAAATAACAAAATGCTTACAACACTAGATATTCCTAGGCGGTCTCCCATCCAAGTACTAACCAAGCCCGACCCTGCTTGGCTTTCGAGATCAGACGAGATAGGGCGTTTTCAGGGTGGTGTGGCCGTAAGCTATTAGAAAAGTTGAAATTACAGCTCTTATTGATTTCTTCACTGCATAATTAACTTTTTGATTGATTGTTTCTTCCCGCCAAGAAAATAACAAAATGCTTACAACACTAGATATTCCTAGGCGGTCTCCCATCCAAGTACTAACCAAGCCTGACCCTGCTTGGCCCACACACATTGAACTGTCGTTGCTTTTGAAGTGGAATGCTCTGTAAGCACACTAGACTCGTTTGAATAGGATTTGTACTTCAAGCCCAATTGATCAACACATGTCGCAAAAGATAATGTTTTATGCCACGTTGCGTTTCACTGCCAGACCCAAAAGATCTTTTGTCTTATATTCCATCTCAATTTGAGGCAGTTAAAAGCCTTTTTAATTTCTGTGTACTGTAAATGTTTAAACTGCCCATTGACTCAAATATTACTTTGTTTTACTCTCCACGTATCCAAAAACCCAATTTATCTCAATAAGATAGTCAGTTGTCCATTGCAGTGGCCGGGAATCGAACCCGGGCCTCGAACACGGGCCTCCACGTGGCAGGCAAGAATTCTACCACTGAACCACCAATGCACGAGCTGGCTGGAAATGGTGCATTTACGGAAAATCCTCGGCAGATGCTGTCAAAAATGAGAAGACACATACAAGAGTGAAGCAGTCATTCTGAAGTAAGGCTTGCCAAAGATTATTGCAAACTTCAGTAAAGGTGGGCCTTATTCGAGAAGGCTCACAAAGGCACTGCCATAGTTTTGTATCAACTACTTCTGAACTGAGACGGAGCCGTTTGAGCTGCCAATGATCTTGACAGGTCACTTTATTCATGTCATACCCACACACATTGAACTGTCGTTGCTTTTGAAGTGGAATGCTCTGTAAGCACACTAGACTCGTTTGAATAGGATTTGTACTTCAAGCCCAATTGATCAACACATGTCGCAAAAGATAATGTTTTATGCCACGTTGCGTTTCACTGCCAGACCCAAAAGATCTTTTGTCTTATATTCCATCTCAATTTGAGGCAGTTAAAAGCCTTTTTAATTTCTGTGTACTGTAAATGTTTAAACTGCCCATTGACTCAAATATTACTTTGTTTTACTCTCCACGTATCCAAAAAATCCAATTTATCTCAATAAGATAGTCAGTTGTCCATTGCAGTGGCCGGGAATCGAACCCGGGCCTCGAACACGGGCCTCCACGTGGCAGGCAAGAATTCTACCACTGAACCACCAATGCACGAGCTGGCTGGAAATGGTGCATTTACGGAAAATCCTCGGCAGATGCTGTCAAAAATGAGAAGACACATACAAGAGTGAAGCAGTCATTCTGAAGTAAGGCTTGCCAAAGGCAGCAATCTCCTCGTCCGGGAATTGAACCCCGGTCTCCCGCGTGACAGGCGGGGATACTCAACACTATACTAACGAGGGACTGTTGGAAGCACGCAGTCAGACAGGACCGAGCAAATCTTAAACAAGACATGGATGAAAAGATTTGGCTTGAGCTGGAATCGTTTGTGACGCACCTCTGTAAATGTAGGACCTCTCTGGCCACATTTGTGTTGTTTTTATCTCTCAAACATGCTCACAATCCCTAGTGAAGTTGTTTCTTCAGGTCAGCAAACCCAAATTCTCCTCACAGAAAATGTTTGTACGTAATGAACGCTTTAAGCAGCAAACAATTTTCCAGAGTTTCTGTAAAGCTGACACTGCACGGAACACAAAAGTGTCATTGGAATTGACCCGAAGTAAATAATGAGATTGAATTTTTTGAGCTACAATGGATTATTGCAAACTTCAGTAAAGGTGGGCCTTATTCGGCCACAACATAATTTCTCGAGAAGGCTCACAAAGGCACTGCCATAGTTTTGTATCAACTACTTCTGAACTGAGACGGAGCCGTTTGAGCTGCCAATGATCTTGCCAGGTCACTTTATTCATGTCATACCCACACACATTGAACTGTCGTTGCTTTTGAAGTGGAATGCTCTGGAAGCACACTAGACTCGTTTGAATAGGATTTGTACTTCAAGCCCAATTGATCAACACATGTCGCAAAAGATAATGTTTTATGCCACGTTGCGTTTCACTGCCAGACCCAAAAGATCTTTTGTCTTATATTCCATCTCAATTTGAGGCAGTTAAAAGCCATTTTTTATTTCTGTGTACTGTAAATGTTTAAACTGCCCATTGACTCAAATATTTGACTTAATTTCCACGTATCCAAAAAATCCAATTTATCTCAGTAAGATAGTCGGTTGTCCATTGCATTGGCTGGGAATCTAACCCGGGGCTCCCGCGTGGTAGGCGGGATTACTACCACTGAACCACCAATGCACGAGCTGGCTGGAAACGGTGTGTTCACGAGAAAATCCTCGGTAGATGTTGTCAAAAATGAAAAAACACATACAAGGAACTGTTGGAAGCACCCAGTCAGACAGGACCGAGCAAATCTTAAACAAGACATGGATGAAAAGATTTGGCTTGAGCTGGAATCGTTTGTGACGCACCTCTGTAAATGTAGGACCTCTCTGGCCACATTTGAGTTGTTTTTATCTCTCAAACATGCTCACAATCCCTAGTGAAGTTGTTTCTTCAGGTCAGCTAACCCAAATTCTCCTCACAGAAAATGTTTGTAGGTAATGAACGCTTTAAGCAGCAAACAATTTTCCAGAGTTTCTGTAAAGCTGACACTGCACGGAACACAAAAGTGTCATTGGAATTGACCCGAAGTAAATAATGAGATTGAATTTTTTGAGCTACAATGGATTATTGCAAACTTCAGTAAAGGTGGGCCTTATTCGGCCACAACATAATTTCTCGAGAAGGCTCACAAAGGCACTGCCATAGTTTTGTATCAACTACTTCTGAACTGAGACGGAGCCGTTTGAGCTGCCAATGATCTTGACAGGTCACTTTATTCATGTCATACCCACACACATTGAACTGTCGTTGCTTTTGAAGTGGAATGCTCTGGAAGCACACTAGACTCGTTTGAATAGGATTTGTACTTCAAGCCCAATTGATCAACACATGTCGCAAAAGATAATGTTTTATGCCACGTTGCGTTTCACTGCCAGACCCAAAAGATCTTTTGTCTTATATTCCATCTCAATTTGAGGCAGTTAAAAGCCTTTTTTAATTTCTGTGTACGGTAAATGTTTAAACTGCCCATTGCTTCAAATATTACTTTGTTTTACTTTCACGTATCCTGTGTACTGTAAATGTATTATGTTAATTTTTTTGTTACAATCAAACAGTTAATTATGCAGTGAAGAAATCAATAAGAGCTGTAATTTCAACTTTTGTAATAGCTTACGGCCACACCACCCTGAAAACGCCCGATCTCGTCTGATCTCCGAAGCCAAGCACGGTCGGGCTTGGTTAGTTCTTGGATGGGAGACCGCCTAGGAATATCTAGTGTTGTAAGCATTTTGTTAATTTTTTTGTTACAAAAAACAATCAATCAAAAAGTTAATTATGCAGTGAAGAAATCAATAACAGCTGTATTTTCAAATGTTCTAATAGCTTACGGCCACACCACCCTGAAAACGCCTGATCTCGTCTCATCTCGGAAGCCAAGCAGGGTCGGGCTTGGTTAGCACTTGGATGGGAGACCGCCTGGGAATATCTAGTGTTGTAAGCATTTTGTTATTTTCATGGCGGGAAGAAACAATCAATCAAAAAGTGAATTATGCAGTGAAGAAATCAATAAGAGCTGTAATTTCAACTTGTCTAATAGCTTACGGCCACACCACCCTGAAAACGCCTGATCTCGTCTGATCTCGGAAGCCAAGCAGGGTTGGGCTTGGTTAGTACTTGGATGGGAGACCGCCTGGGAATATCTAGTATTGTAAGCATTATGTTTTTTTCTTGGCGGGAAGAAACAATCAATCAAAAAGTTAATTATGCAGTGAAGAAATCAATAACAGCTTTATTTTCAAATGTTCTAATACCCTACGGCCACACCACCCTGAAAACGCCTGATCTCGGAAACCAAACAGGGTCGGGCTTGGTTAGTACTTGGATGGGAGACCGCCTGGGAATATCTAGTGTTGTAAGCATTTTGTTATTTTCTTGGCGGGAAGAAACAAACAATCAAAAAGTTAATTATGCAGTGAAGAAATCAATAAGAGCTGTAATTTCAACTTTTCTAATAGCTTACGGCCACACCACCCTGAAAACGTCCGATCTCGGAAGCCAAACAGGGTCGGGCTTGGTTAGTACTTGGATGGGAGACCGCCTGGGAATATCTAGTGTTGCAGGCATTATGTTTTTTTCTTGGCGGGAAGAAACAATCAATCAAAAAGTGAATTATGCAGTGAAGAAATCAATAAGAGCTGTAATTTCAACTTGTCCAATAGCTTACGGCCACACCACCCTGAAAACGCCTGATCTCGTCTGATCTCGGAAGCCAAGCAGGGTTGGGCTTGGATGGGAGACCGCCTGGGAATATCTAGTGATGTAAGCATTATGTTATTTTCTTGGCGAGAAGAAACAATCAATCAAAAAGTTAATTATGCAGTGAAGAAATCAATAAGAGCTGTAATTTCAACATTTCTAATAGCTTACGGCCACACCACCCTGAAAATGCCCGTTCTCGTCTGATCTCGGAAGCCAAGCAGGGTTGGGCTTGGTTAGTACTTGGATGGGAGACCGCCTAGGAATATCTAGTGATGTAAGCATTTTGTTATTTTCTTGGCGGGAAGAAACAATCAATCAAAAAGTTAATTATGCAGTGAAGAAATCAATAAGAGCTGTAATTTCAACTTGTCTATTAGCTTACGGCCACACCACCCTGAAAACGCCCGATCTCGTCTGATCTCGGAAGCCTAGCAGGGTTGGGCTTGGTTAGTACTTGGATGGGAGACCGCCTGGGAATATCTAGTGTTGTAAGCATTATGTTATTTTCTTGGCGGGAGAAAGAATCAATCAATAAGTTAATTATGCAGTGAAGAAATCAATAACAGCTGTATTTTCAAATGTTCTAATACCCTACGGCCACACCACCCTGAAAACGCCTGATCTCAGAAACCAAACAGGGTCGGGCTTGGTTAGTACTTGGATTGGAGACCGCCTAGGAATATCTAGTGTTGTAAGCATTTTGTTATTTTCATGGTGGGAAGAAACAATCAATCAAAAAGTTAATTATGCAGTGAAGAAATCAATAAGAGCTGTAATTTCAACTTTTCTAATAGCTTACGGCCACACCACCCTGAAAACGCCCGGTCTCGTCTGATCTCGGAAGCCAAGCAGGGTTGGGCTTGGTTAGTTCTTGGATGGGAGACCGCCTGGGAATATCTAGTGTTGTAAGCATTTTGTTATTTTCATGGCGGGAAGAAACAATCAATCAAAAAGTTAATTATGCAGTGAAGAAATCAATAAGAGCTGTAATTTCAACTTGTCTTATCGCTTACGGCCACACCACCCTGAAATCGCCCGATCTCGTCTGATCTCGGAAGCCAAGCAGGGTCGGGCTTGGTTAGTACTTGGATAGGCGACCGCCTAGGAATATCTAGTGTTGTAAGCATCTTGTTAGTTTCTTGGCGGGAAGAAACAATCAATCAAAAAGTGAATTATGCAGTGAAGAAATCAATAAGAGCTGTAATTTCAACTCTTCTAATAGCTTATGGCCACACCACCCTGAAAACGCCCGATCTCGTCTGATCTCGGAAGCCAAGCAGGGTTGGGCTTGGTTAGTACTTGGATGGGAGACCGCCTAGGAATATATAGTGTTGTAAGCATTTTGTTATTTTCATGGCGGGAAGAAACAAACAATCAAAAAGTTAATTATGCAGTGAAGAAATCAATAAGAGCTGTAATTTCAACTTTTCTAATAGCTTACGGCCACACCACCCTGAAAACGCCTGATCTCGGAAGCCAAACATGGTCGGGCTTGGTTAGTACTTGGATGGGAGACCGCCTAGGAATATATAGTGTTGTAAGTATTTTGTTATTTTCATGGCGGGAAGAAACAATCAATCAAAAAGTTAATTATGCAGTGAAGAAATCAATAAGAGCTGTAATTTCAACTTTTCGAATAGCTTACGGCCACACCACCCTGAAAACGCCCGATCTCGTCTGATCTCGGAAGCCAAGCAGGGTCGGGCTTGGTTAGTACTTGAATGGGAGACCGCCTAGGAATATCTAGTGTTGTAAGCATTTTGTTATTTTCTTGGCGGGAAGAAACAATCAATCAAAAAGTTAATTATGCAGTGAAGAAATCAATAACAGCTGTAATTTCAACTCTTCTAATAGCTTACGGCCACACCACCCTGAAAACGACCGATCTCGTCTGATCTCGGAAGCCAAGCAGGGTTTGGCTTGGTTAGTTCTTGGATGGGAGACCGCCTGGGAATATCTAGTGTTGTAAGCATTTTGTTATTTTCATGGCGGGAAGAAACAATCAATCAAAAAGTTAATTATGCAGTGAAGAAATCAATAAGAGCTGTAATTTCAACTTGTCTTATCGCTTACGGCCACACCACCCTGAAAACGCCCGATCTCGTCTGATCTCGGAAGCCAAGCAGGGTCGGGCTTGGTTAGTACTTGGATAGGCGACCGCCTAGGAATATCTAGTGTTGTAAGCATCTTGTTAGTTTCTTGGCGGCAAGAAACAATCAATCAAAAAGTGAATTATGCAGTGAAGAAATCAATAAGAGCTGTAATTTCAACTCTTCTAATAGCTTATGGCCACACCACCCTGAAAACGCCCGATCTCGTCTGATCTCGGAAGCCAAGCAGGGTTGGGCTTGGTTAGTACTTGGATGGGAGACCGCCTAGGAATATATAGTGTTGTAAGCATTTTGTTATTTTCATGGCGGGAAGAAACAAACAATCAAAAAGTTAATTATGCAGTGAAGAAATCAATAACAGCTGTAATTTCAACTCTTCTAATAGCTTACGGCCACACCACCCTGAAAACGACCGATCTCGTCTGATCTCGGAAGCCAAGCAGGGTTGGGCTTGGTTAGTACTTGGATGGGAGACCGCCTGGGAATATCTAGTGTTGTAAGCATTTTGTTATTTTCATGGCGGGAAGAAACAATCAATCAAAAAGTGAATTATGCAGTGAAGAAATCAATAAGCGCTGTAATTTCAACTCTTCTAATAGCTTATGGCCACACCACCCTGAAAACGCCCGATCTCGTCTGATCTCGGAAGCCAAGCAGGGTTGGGCTTGGTTAGTACTTGGATGGGAGACCGCCTAGGAATATATAGTGTTGTAAGCATTTTGTTATTTTCATGGCGGGAAGAAACAAACAATCAAAAAGTTAATTATGCAGTGAAGAAATCAATAAGAGCTGTAATTTCAACTTTTCTAATAGCTTACGGCC